GCACTCGTTGCTGTTCTTTAAGGCGCCGATGCTGTATAGACAGCTCGTGCTGTACAGGCAGCAACTGGTGTATAGAGATTTGGTTCAAGGAACGTGCTTTTGTTGCAAGTTGTACACGCAGTGTTTCCCTGCATGCATGCATGTATCGTTTCCATGTATGTATTCCCCGTTCATGTGCGTGCATTTGTTGCTTCTGCAGGCGTTGGGACAGACTGACGGACAACTCCGAGAAGTGATGAGGACTTGGAGGCGACAATTTATGCCGAAGTAGCGGTAGCTGACTTCAGCACCAAACGCAGCTGCTGGTGCTGGTGGAGCTGCGTAGATTGCCGCAGCATCTGGGGTAATGGCAACTACTAATCTGCCGGCAGCCGGTGCTCTGGTAGTAGGTGGAGTTGCGCCGACGCTGTATAGACAGCTCATGCTGTGTAGGCAGTAACTGGTGTATAGACATTTGATGGTGGGTAGACAGCTGCATTTGGTGTATAGACGGCTGAGCATATGCTGGGTGCGTTGTCTGGGCTATTTAGAAGTGGGGCCTGTGTTAGTTGAGTCTGAGCTGACATTCCGCATATCTTTTTCTGCCCCTTGCGGACGTCATCGAGCCCATATCTCTAAATGCAGAACAACAGGTTAAAACTATTTGCATTTGCAAGTGCTTTTGGTCTCATTATCTATGGAAATCGCTTCAAAAGCGGCACTTTTAATGAGGGCTGCACTGAAGTGCGGGGTCCGCATGGAAGGTGACGCTGCAGAGGAATAAAAAACAATGGAACCCTAGTATTAATATGTAATGCAACTGAATGATATGAAATAGGATTCTATACTATGTACACATTATTACTATATGCAACATGCTGTCCTCGATGCACTTTTACATGCATTTAGAAGTATTTATCATATCCCGTCGTTTTACTACTTTTATAACAAGTGGAGCTACGCCATTAGCAGAGAATGGCGTCTAACTGCCGCCGGCCTATACGAACGTTGTGCCGGCTGAGCTGGGCTACTTGTTGGAATAAAGGTAGCCGCACGCTCAGCGATCAGAACGATGTAGGACAGCCTCGATACCAAGCAGAATTAGACAAAATGCAGGCAGTGATACAGCCCTCCTGCCCTCAAGTAAGAGAACCAAGAAAGAGCTAAAGAGGAGCCAGAGGCCCACGCACAATTTGCGTCCACAGTTCCTCGATACTAACCAAGGACCTCCGCGAGCTGCATTGAGGTCGAAGTCGTGACAGAAAAGTTACCCCAAGCCAATTTACCTCCCCTCAGACTCCAAATGTCCTGAGCACCACGGCCCACGGGTCTGGGGATAGTGCTCATAGAGGGCAAGCTCTCATGACAGTACCCTGCTGCAATTAGTGCTGCAAGCGGACCCCACATGCACGCGCAAACGAGCCAATACTATACCGGGGCTAAAACAGTATATAATTGCTAATTGATAACTTGGTATTTAACAACCATCCTGCGAGCAAGCAAAAGTGTACTTCCCAACTTCGCACACACAGACAAGCCTTCGCCACAGTGCAGCGCTTCTACAGACACAGCCTGACTAGCTAAAGCTTGCCGCTATAGCCAGCTGTGGCAAGGAAGTGTATGCCTTTTTATGTTGATAACATAATTCTATATTTCAAAGGGTGTGAAAGCAGACTAAAATAGGTACGCCTTCAATAAACGCAGCACACGGCAGCTTCGAA